CCCCTGAAACATGGGTGATATACGCAATTTTTGAACGCCTTGACGGGCAATAGATGATTCAAACGTAGCAGATGCTTTCAAAGAGTGCTTCGTACCTTTGGCTCAAAACAGTGTGACCTTACATTTTTGAATTCCAATAGTTCTTTCACGTGTTCTATAGACTCCACCAATTCTAAGTAAGCGGAAAAAATGGGGGGGGGGGGCGCAGATTACTGACTAGTTCCTTAAGTTTGAAGATCCAGTTATTCTAGGGTGGTATATGAGAATTTTAATGGCGCTCTGGTAAGAAGCTCAGCCCCTTAGCATAATTGAGTATTCGTAGTATAATACTCTTGTGTACTTTCCGATGTGTTCGTACAAAACTTCAACTGCCTTTACTCGGGTATAAATTCAAGCTGAAGAAAGCCAGTCGTTTCTGGAACAACTAATGAGTTTGGTACACACAGTTTTCTCAGCAATTCTGAACATAGAAACTTGGATCCTATTTATTCTGAACATCCTTTGCTTCTACTGCATTGTACGCGGTAAACTACTATCACTAAAATCCAACCCAATCTATCTTATTATTGCATATAACTTAGTCATAGACAGTACTGATATCCTTGTTCATGGAATTTTCATTGGACCTTCTATGTATTTGAAGGTCAGTTCTCATGTTTCCGTGTGTATGTAGCTGTTGACCCATATTCAGAGAGCATTTTTCAATGAGAAGATAACTTCTTTTCTCTCCATATTCTTCTGGTTCACGTCTTCCTTCATTCAAATTGTCCTCGCTTTAAACAGGTATGGAATGAGACTTCCCAGAATACCGAAAATCTTCCAAGGGTGACTGTCGTACTACTACCCAGTGTGTCCCTATTCACTCATCGACGTATCGTTTACATTTTAAGTATTGCCAGTGCAATTGCACTTGTTTTGACAAGTCTAGCACAAGTTATTATTCCGTGTTGCCGGTGAGAACAATTTTTTGTATCAACATTTCATTCGTATACATCAGCCTCAAAGTCGAACCTTTCGAAAATGGTTATCACTTCGTTACTTCTAATGAGACAAATTATGCAAACTATTCAGTTTACCTACCAGTAAATGTTTCCACAAGCTTGATATGCCTAGTTTCATACGTTGTAGTTAGTAGAGATNTCTACCTCATTTTCAATAGAGATGTTAGATTGAATTGATTATCTCTGTTTGTTAACGTTCTGTTCAGATCAAGAGCCAACTCCGTTCAATGAAAGAATCTTCGAGACGTTACTTCAGCTGGGTTTCATGAGTTTCGATAAGTATGAGAAACAATAATTATATTTTTTTAAGAAAGATATCAAAACTACGAATAACCTTATTAGGTGTTATACCTCGCATTAGCATATTGACTTCTCGTTCATTCCAGTTCTTCATTTGAGAATAAAAATTGTTAAACGGCTGTAACCAACAAACATAACTGTAGAATAAAGATTATATATGACCCCTAGCATGTACACGGTTAAAGAAAAGGAGATACTCAATTGATGGAGATAGTCAATTGTGCTGAACAGAATTCAATGAAACGTGGTTGAGCATTGTATATACTGTTATTTTCATGATGTATAGATGAGGCCTTCAACATAATTCTTCATAAAAAATGCTCTTCTTGAATAATTCCTTTGCCCTATCAAGTTCTTCACGGCTCTTGATCGTTTTCTGGGAAAGTCACTTGTGATGACCATGAAAAGTATTTTTTTTTGTATGAGAAAGTTGCTTTGAGTTTGTAACCTTTCTTTGTACTTGTAGGATAACAAAATGAAATCCGAGCACAGACTGTCTCATTCGTTCCTGAAAAGATCTCATGAATACACGTTTCATCTATTCCGTCTTATTGAACTTAGAAGCTTGGATTTTATTTCTTTGTAATATTCT